GATACTAGTAGTAATGCCAGGAGCTACTAGTAGCTTCTTGCTCCTAGTAGCGATGCCCTTTGTTACTAGCTTCTTATTACTAGTAGTAGTGCCAGGAGCTACTAGTTTGGGATTTCGTTCTGACAACACATCTCACAATGGCAGTCAACTGTCATCAGCGTTGCAGACATGATAAGAATGCGTGCTTCAGCTCCATGTGGTTACCCTTCCCTACCTGCAATCTCCAAGATGGGCCGCAGGTCTTATTGGTGGTACAGATGAGTTTGATGCGCCATTTGCATCTCACATTTCACATCACTTTATACTATATAATTACATAGTTTTCCCTTTTATGTTTCACTAGCTGAGTTCTGGCTTCAGCCCAATGATCCCAAGCACTTCAACGACCACCACACAGCATCAACCACCAAGACAACGACCACGGAAGCGACTACGAGCACCACACGTTGCACCCCTTCCACGAGCACTGCCACCAGCACCACTGCGACTGCTACAAGTGCACTCACCTCCTCAACATCTATAGCGAGAGCTACCGCCACCACAAGGTTTACCAGAATCATTGGCTTGATGACAGCCACATCTACATCTACCATTACTTCTACCACCCACCCACCACACGCACCATTTCCACATCACCCTTCAATCTTTAATCCACATAGCTAGGCATGCAAGTCATGGCGACATGTCGCGACCCTTGCAACGCGGTGGGAACTTGAACGACTCGTGCTCGTGACGACAAGTTCAGTCAGATTACACGCAGCAAACTATTACAACGCTGCTTGCTTCATGCTTTTGGTACACACGCCGCAAACGAAAGGAAATTATCCCTGGCAGCTGCCAGGTGTGCTGCAGAAAGAGGTTTTACATTCTAGATTCTAGACTCTGCCAAAGGCAGACAAAGCTAGATGACTGCATGAATGTCCAACCGCGCCCAGTGCCGAGCACTTCACCACTGTAGAGAGGTAAGTCAATCGCAAGAGACCTAATTGACTAATTGGGTGCACAAAGCGCATGTAGTGGAGTGACTATAGTGTCGACTAGTGTTGTAACGTGTGCACTGTCGGTGCACAAAGCGCATGTAGTGGAGTGACTATAGTGTCGACTAGTGTTGTAACGTGTGCACTGTCATTATGTTTGGCTTTGTTGCTTCAACCCTGCTGGTTCCGTGGCCATAGCAGCTTCCCCCAAGCAATTCATCCACATTCACGATCGCTGACAAGCAAGTCAGACTGTGTCATGGACCACTGTCATAGACTTCAGGCAGTTGTGACAAGACTCTGTGAATTCAGGGGAACTCTATGAAAAGCTATGTGGACCGACCGACACACCAAGTGACGCTTCTTGATAGGTCTGGCCGTCTGCCGAGCAGATCTTCGATAGCATCAATCTTGTCTTCATCATCATTTTTGTTGCCTCTTGGCACAAATATTGTGGGCATGGGGATTCTGATGCTTTGATTTCTGCCCTACCCATCCCTACCTGTTCATTGATGGACGCTTGACAGATTCTTTGTGTGTCTTCAACTCATCGGATGCAGGGATGGAGGAGGAGTTGCACCACTTGCTGTCAAAAAACGCCGGCTTCGCGAGCTTCGCTCGTAGAACGTTGAGGTGGATGTGGTGGTCCGAGTGTCCTTCTTGCGCATGCAGTTCTTTCGTCAGAGCTTCAACTGGCTGGATTTGGCCGTGGTGTCCTGCAGCATCACGCCAGCAAGTTAGAAGTAGTAGGTGGTGCTGGTGGTGCTTGGGCCAGGGGTGGTGGTGGCGGTGGTGGCAGTGTCAAGATACCACCACAATGTTCCAGTGCCTTTTGGATTTTTCAAGTGGCCTTCAGCAAGAGAGCTTTGATCCCTCAAGTTGTCTTGTCCTTTCTCTTCGACGTGACAAGGTGTCTTGGAAGTGTTATTCGATGAACTATTGCCTTTGGCCACTTGGTTCGCACTAGGGCTGATGAGAGGTGTGAGGCCCAGCTCAATTTGATGATACCCCGCGACCTTTGAAACGTCTCACCCGAGGTTTATGCCTATAGAATGGAAAGCTCTACCTGAAATTGATACGTAGCATGTGTCATTCAAGTTGTAGCGCACACACACACACACACACACACTGGTCATTTCATGTCATTTCCCATTATCCTCGCCCCTGAACAATAGCTACCCATCCTTGTTGGCCACGGAAGCCAATTTACTGGGGTTTGGACACGTTCTCAGTTGGGTTTGACGCGGCGTGTGGAGCATCTCGGATAAACTTCAGGAAAACTCACCGTACCGAAAACCCAGAAACCTTTTACAAACGTATTTTTGATGCACTTTTTGCAAAACTAACTTTGTAAAAGCAATTTTTGCTGACCTGCTTCCGCACACACACTCCATCTTCATGTTAGGCCGAGTCTTTTGCGCTCACATGGAGCAACACATGTGGTTGAGAATCCAAGGGAGCCAGGCAATGGCCATGACTGTTCCTGTTCGAAGGCAACGTGCTGGTGTTTTGCAAACCAATTCCATAGGTCCCCGCCAGGGTGCAGTTAAGTAGAAACTGCCAATATCTCATGAAGTACGTCCTGAGTCCTTTGCCAGAATCAGCTTAGGGTGTCGGCATGGAAAGTATATGAGTGCATGAAGTTTCAGGTTCCCCACCTCAGAAAGATCTTACCCAGTGATCTTGTAAAAAAAGAGGAGATTGGTGTTTGGAAACCCAGTGATCTCGTCCCAGCAAAGATCAACCGCCACAGGATACGGTCTTCGTACGGCTGCTGCGACTGGGAAAAGTGGCCCGGGCGATCCGTGTGGTTCGGCATACCGAGGCGCGGGAAGGACGAAGGGTCAAGGACATGAAGCTATTTGGAGGTGTCCATCAATGGGGGCGCCCCAAAACGTAGGTTTATGATTAAACAACCCATTAGTTACATGGATGATTTGGGGGTCTCCCCATTTATGGAATCCCCTGATATTTAGGGCCGCTCTGCCCCCCCGGCCCCTAATTATAATGAAGTAGGTAGGCGCCCGCTGAGCTTCTTGATTGAACTCAGTAAGGGCGATTAGTAGGGCGCTCCATTCGGTAGGACGCAGGAGAGCAAAGGTCCCGCTTCTGAAGAAGCAAGCTTGCCGCTCCTGCAGTCTCTCACCGTGAAACAAGGTGAACTGCAGCCTCTTATACAACGTCCTTCTCTTGTGCCAATGACTTGTGTTGTGTGGTGGAGCCAGAGCGGTCTCTCACCGGCTTGGCTTCAAGGGGGGATTGGTCAAAGATCATCAAAGATCACTTCATTGCAAATCACATTGAAAGAATATAGTATTCTGTCATCACCACATAGTGTAGCCTTTCAACCAGCTTTGGTGGATGGTTCCATTCCAGCAGGGTCCTCGATTGCCTCGCAGCCTCGCAGGGCATGTCCTCGTTGCTGATGCTACTGAAGTGCGTCCGAGCAAGCTTCAACACACTTTGCTGTTCATTAAGCCCTTTGCCGTCACCAGCGCTGGTTACAAGGGCTGGCACGGGCCCAACCGGAGGCAAGGGCCGGGGTGACTGCATGCAGGAACCACAAGGTGACAAGGACACTTGAGGTGACTGTACGCAGATTGATGATACGTGCCGCACACGCTGACGAGATGTACGGTGAGGCTTTTAATCCACACTAGTGGGATTGGGTAGCTACAAAGGCCTTTGACTGCTGGACATGCAAACTGAATTATGATATCCCGACAAGGTTTCAACTTCCACTGTATGGCATGTGTTTTTTGATATTTTGATTTAGTTTCGGAGCGGTTTAGGACCTTCACACCTAATAGTTGTAAATCAATGTATAAATCATCTAACAAAAGCTCTTTCCCCACACTGTTCACATGACCTGTCAGCCATTTTCTCAGCTCTTATTTCACCTGTAGGCAAAGACTTCTTGATGTCTAGAGTAATGTCAAACGCCGGACTAATGACCCCGCCTTCAAGGTTTGCTAATTGTGGGTGGTCAAAAAGTGCAATTCGACTCTTTGGGCGGGTCAATCAGGAGAGGTCACCAAGACTAATTAAATCTCTTCATGAGTCGGAGAGGCCCCAAAGACTAAGTCTCTTCAGGCGCTTGGGAACTTTTTTGGGGTGGTGAATCTATTTATTGATTGATGATTAGGCAATTCACAAACTATGTGATAAATTTTTCCAAGGCCAGGGAGAGATCAAATTGTATATTTTGATTAAAGAGATTAAATAACTTGTATAAAGGATTTTTTCTGGGGGTGGTTTTGGGATTCTGGGTGATTTGGGGTGATCTGTGGCCAGATCAGGCAATGAGATTCTTATGAAGAGATGGGGTCCAGTAAGCATTGAGATGCATTAGTGTTGATGGAGAACGCGAATTCGGTGAGAAGGATGAGGCTGAAGATATGGAAGCAGAGCCAGTGGAAGACACGCAGGATTCCACAATGCAGGATGACATCAGACTACACCTGGGCAGTTGGTGTCAATGAGGAGTTCAGAATCATTCAATTCACCAACTATGAGCCTAATTGCTCCAAGGGCTCTATTCACTCCTCCATCAGGGGATGGGCCAAGATCAGGTGATCAGTCAGGATCAGCATCAGCCAAGAGGCATTGCTCCAAAAACGATGGACAAACTGATAGGAGGGGGTATGTTAATCCTATGTTGACTATATATAGTCTATAGCAAAGCACAATCTTATAGTCGCCCCTCAAAGGATGATATATGAGTTCTCAGAAGGATGTCGGTGGATGTCTTGAGTGCACTCAACATCTCTTTTAGAAGGTATGCGGAGACACCGGCAGGAAGTGCCGTGCACGAGGGGGGTCTCAGCTGCAAGTCATTTATGACATTTTCCGAGGTTTCATTGTAGTCTTGCAGTGCATCGCCGGAATGGTCCGGCACTCGAGAAGCTCTCAGAATTGAAAGTGGGCTGTAAATTGTCTTAACGAGTCCTTAACAACATGATATAACTCTATATATTATATAGACTTTAACTTGTACATTTTTCAGAGACATGCGCATGAAGGGTTCTTGTTGACTGTTTGCACACGCATGGTGCAGAAGAGAAAACTTCTTCAGGTCATCAGCCAGGTAGTTTCTCCCTACATGACCGACGAGAATGTCGGCTTGGAAGAGAGGAAGGCAGTCTTTAGGCACGGGGATCAATAGCTTTGGATTTGTTGATGAATTGAAACCACCTGAGACATGGAGCTGTTGCATAGGGTGATGTGGTGGAAGTGGATATAAGCATTATCGAATTTCGATACACAGGGGTTTGATGTTGATGTTGACTCCCAAGACGAGTCAAGGTCTTGGTCACCGTAAAGCAGGATCAAACATACTCAATTGGCCCATTGGCATGAAACAAACGGAAGAGACCTGTTTTCCAGGTACTACGGGACCTTCACCGCCACGTTTCTGACCATGTTTGAGGCGAGGTGTTGTCCATGTTGGCAAAATGAAACCATGTGTTGAGGCCAAAAGAGCAATCAAAGGCTGTTGGATCGAGCAGTGGTGCGGAGTTTTAGGATCAACATGTTTGCTTATAATAGTGGTTTATTATAGGTAGCATGGTTGTCTACGGACCGCAAAGAATCAGGACCGTCAAGGACAGATCTGATCATCCAAGGTCCCAGTTGCCATTGGAAGAGGTATACTGTACACACATGATTTAGAGAGGCATGCCAGGTGACTACTGTATTTTGATGTATTTTTTAGCCTTCGCGGAACCAAGCCAATCGGGCTACAGCTGCATAGGGGGGTTGCAAAGTAATGTGTTTTTTTCCACCATGCTTTCGGAACCCATCACACACCATGGACGCCCCCGGTTTGGGCATATAGATGAATCGGAAGCGCCTCGCTTTGTCGTGGGTTGAGAGGAAGCGTCCGTGGCGGGACAATCTCGGGGAATGTTTCGTCCGATGGTTTGCAGAAAACGATCTTGAAAATTTTAGGTGGGGTTCTTGGGATCGTCATTGAAGTGTGCTTTCGGTTTGCCAACCAACGAGTTGGATGTTCATGGATGTTGATTGGCAAAACGCATCTTTCAAGCTACTGCAACGGCCGCCATGTTACAATCCGTTGTTTTCGCAGTGGGCTACAGGTGACCATTTTTTCCCAATAGGTTTGCTTTCGACATCAGTGTCTTCGTTCATGGCCCACCCAAAATGATCATACCTCGTTGGTAATGAGAAGCCATTGGAAACCCAATCTTGTCATCATTCAACACACAGCAGACATCTCGACATCTTTTTCAACCCATGATGATCATGATGTTCTTTCTGGGTACCCGACCAGTGAAACCACCTCGGCCTGGCTGGCACACAAGGTCCTGTTGGCAAACTGGGCACCACCGGCACGAATCTTGGCACCTTGGACGAGTCTGGAAGAAAGGAGAGCCATGTTAAAAAACTGAGAGGATAGGGGGGAGTCAAGGTGAGTGAGGCAATTCGTGAAGAGGTGACGTGGATATTACAAGTTTATTCACTGTGTCCAGGCCCCATACCCTATTTGTAAAGAGTTGTTTCACAGATTGTTTGGAATACAATAACTAGTTCTTGGTGATTCCCTGGATGGTACCTGCACATGTGTGTCGCAACGGGATTTTGTGAGACCATGAATGAGTTTCTTTTTTGAAACAGGTGTGTCATGTTTCATCAAATTGATGAAATTGAGAGTTTCAAAGCAGTAACAAATCCTCCAAGGTCCAACGTTTGAGCAACACAACCACAGCAGACAGATGGACAATCAGCAGTGAAGAGAAGAAATTGCTAAGACATGCAAGATGTACCAGTCCAGAGGCGAATACAGACGGTGGTGGATGTTGATCCATGAAGATGTGTTGCTCAATTTGGAGGACCGAAATGCTGACGGACCCAGGTGGACAATGTCAGCGACCTTTTCGTCTACGTCTTCGTGGTATATCGCTGTGTTGTTGGATTTGCAATCTTGAACGTGGCCGCTTGGATCATATTTGTTGCAGAGCAGTATGGAGACAAAAGGAGACTAATTAATTAATACAATTACAGAAGAGAAAGGGAGAAGAAGCCTCTAAGAATGGGACGCGAAATCCTGCAAAACACATGCTCTCCAAATGCGTCCAATTCTGCGACACGTGTGGGTCGGAATGCCTGTCTTGGTACTTCCCAAACTCCATGGAACCCCTCAAAGGTGGTGCGAAGTACGTCGACGACGTAGACCAAAGTGACCGTGAAAATAGATCGCAAGGGTTGAGAGGAAGTTGGTGCGCGTGTTCAAGGCGCACACTTGGACTTGAAAATTGAGTGTATTTCAGCACCCTGAGCCCTCCAAACGTCAGGCCTGCGCACGCCGCAACCTATTTTGGTTCCATCAAGTCCTGAAGAGGTGTTTGTGTGGAAAAGCTCTTTTGCATGCCATGGAGACACAGTCAGTTCGTTTTTTCTTGCAAACTGTGTGAGCCCGCTTTACTGTGCTTATATTTCTGATTGTTGGAGATATGGTGTGCAGATGGCAACTCCAAACTGTGGGCGTGCTCTATGATGTTTACACGTTGCACGCCGCAGAGTATCAAATTGTTTTGACCCAACAGAAACATATCAAAACGCAAACATGAACAAGTCCTGTTTAATCATCAACAACAACAACCACCACAACCACCACAACCACAACAAACACCACCACCACAACAACAGCAACAACAACAAATGTATTGACCTTTGATCCTTTCGGGATCTGGACACACGTGCCTTCTTTGCGCAATGGGCTGGGTGACCCGAAGCCTCGCTGCATGAGCCGACGGCGCGCGGCGGCCGTGGTGCCCGAGGGGCTTCGAATGAAAGGCGACGAGTCCGGCGAGTCCGGCGCCGAGGATCGCCGCCGGCGACCGGATCGCTGGAAGGAGAAGCTGTTGATTTGGCTTCAAGGCGCTGTTGGCTGGGTTGGTTTCAATGAAGCGACCATGAGGCGACCTTTTTTTTTAAGAGATGGACCACATCAGACTAGTTGGTTGAGACAGGGGATAGCTGGTTCCCCCAGATTGGGAGGATCAGCAAGCAGAATAGTATGGCTGTGCGATCAAGTACCAGGCAGCTAGTTGGAAAAGAGATCGACTCAAACATATGGTACCTAATGTGATCCGGTTTGAGGTACAAGGATTTCTAAGTGTATCGAATTTCTATCTTGTGGCATTTTCGAGGGGCGTGAAGGTTATGAAGTTGGAAATTGACATTAGAGATTCACCAATGGTTCCATTGACTCTATTGACCAAACATTATTCATTTGACATGTTCAACCGATTCTGCGGAATCTATGAACGCCAGCAGGCAAATGGGCTCTCTTTCAGTGAATGCCACAAATCCAGGTGAAGAGCTTTTCTCTCGCAGTTCTCCCTTGGAGCAAAGCATGACCTGCATCATCTTCAGCATCCTCATGGTCGGCTGGCAATATGGGTGGTTGAAGCTCCCATATGTTCTGGTGTTTGGGAGCTTGTTCCTAAGGTGGTCAGGACCCTTGGTGCATGCGCAGCGACCCCTAGTAGAACCGATATGAAATGAAGAATACTTGATGCTCACAATATTTTTTAGGGTGGAAACGAACTGATCACAGAATATACAAATAACACGTTTTGAAGACTATACACACCCACCAGAAGTCCTGGAGAATTGGTACGACGTGACCCATGACTCTTGCATTAAGCATGTGTGGGTTTGCCAAACGTTCGTTCCATCATGCTACGATTGCAACTTGTCCGGCCTCCAGCGTGAATCGTTTCATGTCTACAGGTTCGTTGGCCGTTATTTTCACAGAGTCTTCAGCTCTCGACAACTTCGAGATCCTCAAACTTATGATGAATCCAACGAATCCAACCAGTGTTCGATCCAAGACATGTCAAGATCGCAAAGACCTGTAGAAAAGCATAGAAACACTATGAAACACCTCTTTGCTTTGGAGGTTTGTGTTGCCTTCACCCTTTTGCACTGGCTGGGCCTGGGTGGCGGCACCTGCGAGTCACGTGACAGCTCCGGCGGCGTCGCTTCAGCGGCGAACGGAGCGTCGTCGCCTCACCTCAGAGGCTTCGGAGCCGAGGACGCCGCGTGAGAAAAGCCGCGTCCGCGTGCAGCGAGCGAAGAGGTGTGTGTTTGAGGGTCTAGACTATATTTCATCCTTTGATCCTTTGATTGATTTGGATTGATTTGGAATATGAAGTGGTTGAAGAGTGAAATTCTCCCACGTTGTGTGTGTGTGTGCACGTTGGTTGTGAGAGCCTTTGAGTGCATAATCTAGGCGGGAGATGGTTTCAATCCCCCATGATGTCCCCAAGCCTAGGCCGCAACAATTTTCCCAGCTTGCTTGTTCCCAGGGACATCATCTGAATGACAGCTGCTCCTTCCGATGGAGAGGGCCGTAGAAGTGTTCTACACTGCGCTTTTAAATGTGCAGTTGGACACCACCTCCGGACACCGGTGAGGGGTAGTCAAGTTGTCGTGGTGAATTTACGAAGGCTGAACCTGAAATCTGTTCGAGTTCAAGCTAGGGCGCGATTCAATCGGTTGTGACATGGAGGGCACCTGGGGTAGCGTGTCGGACGGTGACCGGATCACTAAAGCCCCGCTTGCTCTTCAACTGAAGACTTTCTCGACTTTTGGGCACATCTAGGAAGGACTGCTGAACTTTCGGTGCTGGCTCGTGAACGGTGGGGCCAAACAATGCATCATCACTGTCACATACTACTAGGATTATCACAAATTCACTCATTGTATGATGTATGCATATCTTTAATGTACCCTCCCGAGTTCGCTCTGCCTTCGTCCATCGTGCATGTGAATGTTTTTCTCGAGCTCAGGTTAATGCTGTTTTCATACAGCAGACAATGAAGGTCGCACAAGCAGATCAAGAGCTGATCATCAAGCAAAGGCTGAGCCACTTGATTTGGCAGGTTGACATCAAGCAACAACATGTGACGTCAGTGGGTTACTTTTTCGGTGAACTTTGGATGTGTTACTTGTACATTCCAGGTTTGTTCAATTCAATTCCAAATGTTGCCAGTTTGTCACTCTCAATTGCGGGTCCATGATCACAGAAACCGATTCGATGCTGTCGATGCTGAGAACCACCTCGCTGAAGCATGGTGTTGTGTTCCAAGTTCCGCGGGGTTGTGCGATCTAACAAACAAAATGGACGAGATTCCCCAGAACAACAGGCAGCCCAGGTGGCAGTCGTGATATACCATGATGTATCAGAATCATTGGGTCGGACAATCAAACAACATTTGGCACTTGCCAAATACTTTGCTCAAGATGTTTTCCTTGTCAGTTTGGGAACTCAAGGGTTCACATGTTCACACGGCTGCCGAGCCAAGGGGCCGAGTCTGCCTATGCTGCCAAGATGCGTGTTTCGGCGAGAAGAAGCGTCGGCCGTGTGGTGTTCGGTAAAGTGACCGACCACCTATTGTTCCATGTCGTTGGTCATCCCCTTGAGTGCGTAAAGTGGTCGATGTGTGGTGTGGTGGTGCGCCAACTGAAGAATCATATGTGAAATATATTGAACCATTTTACGTTTGTCTTTAAAGTATGTGACTCTTCTTGGAGCATGAGCACAATTGAACACCCATGGGTTCGTTAATCCTACCTTGGACAGCAAGACTAGAAGTCCTTTCCAAGTAGGCATGTCAGGGAGATGACTCAGATGGTGTTTGTTTGTATGACGAGGGTGTTGAGGTACGATGTGTTGCGAAGGTGATCCCAAAGACTACATGCATGAGAACTAATAAACCAGACACTCAATGTATGCCATATATGCCTAGAGATTTTGGGGGTCCATGTATATAGGCATATATGGTGGCAGTCCCATGCAGGGCAAACCCGTTGTCGGGGAAGGAACCATCGGCACTCTTGAGAGGCAGGGAATGGATTTGTAGCAAGCACGGGTGGCGAATCATTGGGATTGTATGGCCTTAGTTGATTGGTGTTTGGATGATGAACGCAACGCGTGTGGATTGGCACTACATGAGGGGAGTTGAAGTCTTGTTTTCTACTTTATTGTCACAAATGCTATTGAATTTTGGCGGGAGGTGTCTTTTCAAAATAAATTCCTGAATCCAGCCTGAGGCACGTTTTTTTGACAAACTGGACAAGAGCGGATGTGGCTATTTGACATGGAAGGACTGGGAGCTGGTAGTAGCATGTAGTAGCCAGGTCAGGCTGAGGCTCAGTTATTGCAGGGGAGTTAAGTTAAGAGGTTTGTTTTGTAGCTTCTTGCTACTAGTAGCTTCTTGTTCCTAGTAGTAATGGCCTCCAACCTAATATCGATGGCCTCCACCTAGAAGCTTCTTGTTACTATAGCAGTCACCCACGTTTTTGGATTTCATGTTAATGTGTTTCAGACTCACCGGTCGCTCTTTCTTAAATCCTCGCCGCTCGCGAGGATTTCAACCAAGCGTTGCAGAAACCTGAGCTTCGATCCTGGATGGCCACATTGGACCTGGACACCCGGCACCGTTTCTGCTTTTTTAAGCCTTCCCCTCCTACTTACAGTAAGTAGTCGCCTACTTAATTGAATACGGGAGGAGTTCGCTCCTAGCTACGAGGACGCTGCTAGTAACTGGACACAGGATAGCTCATGCTTCGCCGCCCCTAAAGGCGTGAGCTTCCTTGAAGAAGCGCTCGCACGAATCATTTGGTTCCTACATGTTTAGGGAAACTTAAAAGCCCAGACCAAAGTGATTCAATATTATTTCTGTATAGGATCCGTGTTCGTTGAGGGATCTCAGCGCAACTGCAACCGTGAAGCCTTGCATAGCCTTGCATCCAAGTTGACACCATGAATCCTCCAGCGCATCCGTGAATGGTTTCAGTAAGTAAGACATCCATGGTGGTTGCGAAATGGTGGTGCCAAATGCCTTGAAGACTTGGTTTTAAATAATTTTGTGGCTGCCACGGGTGCTGATAGGGGAAGTCTTGTTTTCAAATTGTATGCGGCCGACAAAGCAAGAAGCAGACTTTAACATGAAGAGAATACGCCGTGCCCGGATTGTTGACGAATTCAACATGTGCAATAGAAAACCCTAAACCCCGTGCAACTCCATCTATGACCAGCCAAGCTATATGACTCCAGCTATTCGTGTGGACGTGCATTCCCAGGGAATGGGGGTCTGCGTTGCTACGTATGGTTCCAGGTGTTTCGCACGGTTTTGGCCACTCAATTCTTAAAGATGTCGCACGGTTTGCGGCAACCAGAAATGCAAGAAGTTGTTGTAAGGAGTCCTATGACCTTGTGAATTTGTTCCATCTTATTGACGACGGTAACTTGGCACAGTTGGGAGGTGTGTTGAAGGACATATTCGTCGGAAGAAGGTGTGGAAGCCATCTGTCAACTTTTGTTCAAGGAAGCTTGGCTTCAGATGTTCAAGCTGCATCGTGACCAGCATCCATCAGCATACTTGCATGCAGCTTCATTGCTGATGGTGTGTGTGTGAATTATTGTGAATTTAGATATTTCTCAGAGGGAAGTAAAACACCAACTTCGTGGCACCTATCGCTTTAAATAGGGGTCAACGATGTGAAGCGGCATGGAACAAGGAACTGCAACATCCAATGACTGACTCAATCATGCATGCAGACCCAAACATTGTTCGGCCATTTCCGGCAAAGAGTCCAAGAGTCAAACGACGCACCTTATCAAACCAAATTCATGAATCAACAACTTTTTGATACGTAGGTGTTTGTATGCTTCGATCAAACCAGTGAGTGTTATTTTTTCTTTCATTTGCCTAGGTGATGGCCGTATCACAGTGGCCGAGTTTTTGGATGGTGCTATTCGACTTCGGGGCTTAGCCAAGAGTGTCGATCTGGCACAGGCGCGCGGGTGTGTGTGCGTGTGTGTGTGTGAATGTGTGCGCCTGTGCGACAAGGTGGCAAAGGTAGATGCATCGAAGGCAGATGATTCATTCAGAAGAAAGACTCTAAAAGCCAGTAATTTCTGGGTCTCCATTTCTGGATTTTCTGGGGTCTAGCCGCAACATTATTGTTGTAAAATTTACATGGTGCAGGCCGTGGGTTTCCAATCTGCGCCGCACCGATACGCCGATACACCGATATCCCCCAGCCGCAGGATATCGGCGTATCAGCACCGCACCGATATCCTCCCCCCTCTCCGGGCCGATATAGTATCATACCCGCCGATATCGGCGTATATCGGCGCATCGGCGCCGCGCACTAAAAACCCAGTAGGACATTGGCGTATGAGACATGAACACCATTTCAACATGTGCCGTTGTTGGCTCCTCTCGAATGCAGGCTCGTCCTTTCCTTGTGGACTTAAGGAGATGGTGACAGTAATTCATCTTAATCCCACATGAGAATGGCTTCTTCTTTCGCCTCAACCAGTTCTGCCGCTGGTGACCCCGGTTTCGGCCGAGGTGCTGAACACCACCCGGCGAGTCGATGTGAAGATCGAGGCAGGGGTAGATCACTGGACGGTGGCGCTGGTTGCTTGGCATTTGCTTGCCATAGAGAAAGACATTTGTTGGAATACATGAGGAAAGGAACCTTGAGTATATAGATCATTCAGACCGTGGAAAGTAATTTTCATGTGGGAGTGGAGGATCGCTGTCAATCATGGCCAAGTCAACCACTTTGCCTGATCACATCGCTTTCCGATCAAAAGTCATCAAATCTGTCGGCCCACATGGGCTGATCACATCGTCTTTCGACCGAGTTTTTCAAGTTTGGTCCCAAATGAGCCTGACCCAAAGACCCTCACATAAGAACCCATCAATCGCATGTGCCGTGGATGCTGCATGATGCAGCCCAAGGTGGACTGGGGAAGCCACTGTTTGGTGGGAAGTCTTGTTCAAAGAACGAGAGGATACTGCAATTGTTGCTATTGCAGTTTTGCATTTGCAAGCCATTTCGCATATGCCAAGCTTCATGAGCCGTGGTTGGGGGGGCAGTGCTCAATGCTGCTGGATGCATGACCAGCGGAAAAGCTTTGGGAGGTCACAGCTTGTGGGAGGACTCCAGGGGGGCCAGGAAAGCAGGAACTAGAAGGTCCGTACAAAGTATAATATGTCAATTTCGGGAGGTGTGCTAAAGGGTTGTCGTACACAGGGACTAAGTGGTGAGAGCCAAACATGCTGTTTGCTCAGATGCTTTGCAAGACTTTGCAGGCCCTTTTGATGAGCATGAAGGAACTTACCAACAACCACAAGGTTGACACCTTCAAAACGGAGGTTCCTTGGCTGAATTCCAACTGGCGATCCTTGAAGCCATGTATCGTGGGTGCAGGATGGTTTGGGATGGTTTGTAGTACTTATACAGAGGTTTGATGTAGTTTCTTGCTTTCAGAGACGGGAACGAGAAAATGCATGATTGGTGAGACGGAAATTATCACAACTCAACAGCCATCATAATATATTGTGTCAATCCATCCTGAAATAGATTAGGCTTCCTGAAACGATGCTCATTCCTGATATAATGTAGGCCTGCAGCTTACCTTCGGCTCGTGATTGACACTCAGACTCAACTTTGCCTGGGTTCTACCATTCCATTGAGATTGGCTCAAAGAGGGCAAAGCTGGGGTGAGAGTATGATTGCCAGGGGCCCACCCATGGGGCGGGGAAAGGGGAAAGGAGGAACAGGGAAGTAGGGAGTTGAGGAAAGGCAGTCTTGGATGGTTGTGGTGGTGGTGGTTGCGTAGGTCGTGGGGGTGGGGGGGCAGGCACAGTGGGGGCGATGGTGGGTGGTCGTCGGTGGCGGGGTGGCTGTCGCTCTTGTGGTTGTAGTTGCAGCCGTTGCGGTGGTAGTTGTTGTTGTGAGCGTGGTGGTGGTTGTGTTTGTTGGTGGTTGCCGTTGGTGTTGTGGTGGTTGCCGTTGTCGTTGCTGTTGCCGTTGTTGCCGTGGTTGCGGTTGCGGTTGCGGTTGTTTCTGTTTTTGTTTCTTATTTTTTGTTGTTGTTACGAAGTTGGCCTGGTGGACTGGTCGTCGCCCGGACGTGGGAATCGAGAGCAACGAAATGCACATATTGCGTTGCTATCCGAGCAGCATGTCACGCACCACCAACTCCTCTGGACATTCTTAACCGAGGTGGGGTGGGGCCCCTGGGCAGAATTGTAGTATTGCAACGGTGTGCAGTTTCTGGAAGAGGCAAGTCCCAGCTTTGATGAAACACGAAACCAGCGCCGCACCAGGCCATGGGGAAGATGTCAAAAGTCACCACCCGCCGGCTCTCCTACAGCAAGAGGTGGGGAGCCAATCTCTGTAGCACTTACCACAAAAATAAGGTGCTTTCTTAGCATAAAGATTGTTCACAATTTGTTATGGAAATTCTTCCTTTGGAGATTCAGCCTTTCGGCAGTTGGTGAATCTTTGCAGATCCTCAGGTCACCCCCAACGCTAGACTTGGCATGCCTTTAGCACTGATCGAACTCCGTCCGAGCACTGAGGTGGTTTGAAAAGACTCGGAATATGTTTAATCAGGAACTTATGAAATGCCACGAGGATACCCCAGTGTTCTGGCTTGCCTAGCAATCGATTTCAAGCTGATTCCCGAATGCAAACCCTGAAGTTCTCAATAGCAACGTGCCATGGCTGTTTGTACAGTATGCAGTTGAACATTTGAAAAGGGATAAAGTTCAGAGGATGTTGGGTTGGTTGTGTGTGTAGACTTTTTGAGTTCATCCAGTTGCATAGTTGTTTTAGTTGTTTTGTAGCTTGTGTTTAGATGTGGAAAAAAACAAAACAAGTCCAAACCAATTGGTATTTATACTTTGTGGCGCTTGCAGAAGATAGATGGGCGCTGCTGGCTGAACTGGGAAAGATATTGCGAGCCTTACCCAAAAATGCCAATGCACGAGATTGCCATGAGCATCTGAACCGGGTTGACCCGCGGATATTCCAGTGAATATTGAGACTTCGGGGTGACTCTACGTTGAGGAACAGCTGTTGGCGATTTGCACAGTGAGGTTGTGGTAATTGATTTGTGCAATGCTTGCTTGAGAGATGAAAGAACACCTGTTTGTTTTGGTATGAGTGCACATTTGACTGTGCTGATGTATTTTGCCTCGAGCCGGGCCATGTACCCATCAAGGGGTTGTGACCGCTGGCTGGCCGGATGTGGGGAGTTGCATCTGACTGTTTCCGTTAACTCAGTCTGTGGGCTAGTTGCGCCAGTTGCACCGACATAAGTAGGTTTAGATCGTCCCACGTCCCACAACTATTTTGATAAATGAAAGAGAAGGTCTATACTCTATACATCTCTATATGCATCTCTATACCCTCACCTCCCTTTTTCCAGCTCTTTTCTTGTTTTTCTACGTTCCATGCTCGGGCCGTACAACATCCAGCCGCTGCGAGCGCGTTTTGCGGCTCAGTGAAGAGCCAGGTGTGAAGAGCCGCCCAGTGGTGGCCTCGCATCATCCCTCATCCCCTCCATCTTCAGGCCGGACATGAATTTTCACAGAAGGAGGTCAGTTCATGCAGGTCAAGGACGGGAAAGGTCCAGGGGGTTGTTGTTTTGAGAGGATATGCCTTTAGATCATTGTTGGTCACCTTTGATCCGGAAAGCATTGCATGTTCTTGACAAAGTCCTCTGTTGAATTTGGAATATCAACGAGTTGGTTCAGGGTGTTTACTCAGGTGTCCACACCTGTCGGGCATGTTTTTGTGCAGCTGCACAAAAACGTGCCGAATTCACGTGTGCCTTTCCATTGGGTGACGAAAGACTTCCAATTCAACTCAACCCCTTTGTCCAGGAAGAGCGCAACCCTGAACAGCCTGGCGCCCGGAGCGAGCTGGAGCAGAATGACACCCACACTCACGACGAGTCGTGGAGAAAGGTCGAAATGAAATTAGGATTTGGTTTGCGCTTGTTTGCACCTTGTTCTTGCGACTTGGGAGGCTTGCCAGCCACTCTTTGTCTCTCCTTTACTAAGGCTAGATCAGCGATTCAGAAGCAGAAGTGGCAGAATCTGCTGGATGGCAAGCTGCTAGATGGCAAGTGCCAGAGGAGAGGTTCCGACTTGTTTGGCTGCATATGCAGCCAGGGCAATGCCCGACAAAGCATCCAAGCTGCGATATGCATCCCATTTTTGGACGATCGATCCCAGCGCGTGCGAAGAAAAGAGGCAGGATAGTACGGCTCATTTGATCAGTCTTAAAGGAGGACAGGAGTGCTAACGATGTTCAATTGTTTTTATCACGTAGCAACTCACCAGTGCCTCACGAAATTGACACCTCCAAAGTCTCAGAGGTAACGGAAAAGTACTACCATTCCTTTCTCTTTGATTGAGAAGGTTTGTAACATGCCTTTAATTATCTTATTTGGCATGTGCTAACTATCGATGTTTAACACACGGAGTTAGAGATTTGTAATGAATCAACATGCTCCTCACATGTGCCGGGATCTGGAGATGACTTGTTTGCATGAGTTTGGACAGCGCCACACCTGGCCGGGCATGCGAAAAAACGTGACCGGTGACCATTGTGGCCAGGCTCCAGGTCAAAGCGATTGAGTGGTTTTGTGATGTGTTTGTGCTGTTTGCCACTTGCTTGCTATTTTTGAGGTTGCGCTTGTTCTCCTGGTTGGGATTGGTCATGACAAAATCGTGAATCAGCCTGTAGTTGGTTTGAGATTGGTATTGCAGACTTTCTTGACTTCCTGATCACGTTCCTCGGACAGATCCAAGTAACCCGAGCTCACATGGCCTTGCTGTCCCTTGAAGTCGTAGGGTGGGGATGCTTCTTTGTCAGTAAACGAGTTATTTGTTTTGCATATTGCAACTCTTGTCCTGAAGGGAGTCTTTCTTGGTGTGTCTCGGTCCTTCAACTCATACTTTCAGGTCACCTCATGTTCTCATATTTTATCATTGTTTTGTGTTTGGAGTATTCTGTTTGTTTAGGTGTGGATTTAACACAAACGGCCCTGGGTCAAAGGAAGTTCTGGGCCGTGCCTTGCAGAAATGGATCACCAGATGTTCTTTGGTTCGACCTGGCAAACTTGTTGTCTCAATCTTGTCTCACCGTGTATTATCCAACTTTGCATTCTTGTTCATATGCATCGATACTACCAATCAATTCCCCTGACCCCCCGACTGACCCCCCGCCGCTCCCTTGGACTTGAACCTGGAGCGCTCCGAGCTAGCGGAGCTAGCTGACTTGCTTGCCGAATCGGCTGAGAAGTGAGCTGAGCAAAACCAGGACGACCTTAAATCCCTCTCGCAAGGCGTTTGCAATCCTAGACTTGTCAGGTGTATTGCTCAGACCACATCGTTTGCCGTCGGCATCTTCTCGACATGTCAAAGTTTTGCTCTCTGTCGGCATTGGCCGTGGAGAAATCGAGCTCGCAGATCGTGTTTGGTTTGAGGCTTCAAAGGGGATTTGTGAGTGCATGGTCGTAACTAGCATGTGACTGGATGTGACAACTGTTTATGATCTCGAACCGCTACGTTCTTTTGAGAGGGTAAATTGCTAGGAACAAGTGCATCGCTACTAGAAACAAGGGCATTACTACTAGTAACAAGAAGCTACTAGAAGCGATGCCCTTGTTACTAGTAGCTTCTTGCTACTACTAGTGCCAGTAGTCAACGGCTTTGTTCTTGAGATTCTCAGCGCAGTGTGGCAAGGGCAATTGCGTAGCCATTGACCGCTCCTGTGAGGGACAGGATCCTGCCTATGTGCCCTGGAATTTATGGCGTACAATATCACTTTGGTAGATAGGTAGGGCCTGTCCTGTCCCATTAACAGTCGGTAAACGATGCTGTACTAACGAAAAAAGGTCCGCTGTTGTTGCTGGAAATGGGATAGACCCAATATCTAGGGCATAATTATATATATATACATGTTGAACACAAAGAAAAGCTGGCAATATGCCTAGATTTGCAAACGACTGAAAGAAAGTGGTCATCATGTTTGGTGGTGAAGTTCATCACCGGTCCTAGCAGGCCCGATGGGACCCTGGAGAAACGCAGTTCTTGGCTTTGCACCAAGCCAGGTCCTTCAAGCATGGCCAATGGCCAATTCTACGTATGTACAGTATATATCCCCAAAGCATCTATAGCCCATCCCAAACATCGGGAACACCCTTCGCGGCAGAGTGTATATCGGCCACTGCAAGACTGCGCAAAGGACTTGGCATAATCCAAGGCACCTTTTCTAAGAAACCCAAACACCTCAGTCCAGGAAACACCTCTGAGTGATTTGCCAGGATTGGCAGCGTCTTTGTCTCCCTTAGCCCGAAGTTTGGTTGGTGCATTGCTGGAGGTGAGCCGGGGGGGAAGCTGCAAAGTCGGGTGCTGGCGAGTTTGGCTTTAAGTCAGCTCTCTTGCTGAGAATTTCCTCGTTGTTGATATGAGTTACTATGAATGTTTTTTCTATATATCGCTCTCACTCTCTCACTCTCTCTCCCTCTCTATACACCCAAGGTTTTCCTGTCCCAATCATGGCCCCAAATCTCTAAGATTAATGAGCTAGGATATTATTCAAGGCGACTGGATGGGCAACAGCAGCTCTGTTGGAAAACTGTTTGCTTTGGGACATATCCATTCCACCAAAAACTCATGGATTTTTAATACCGGTCCAGTCCTGCTAGTCTTGGCAAGTCTGTTTTGGAAAGTCAAGGCATCCCAAGCTTGGAGGAAAGCTACAGTACAGCCAGAAACTGTGGTTGAATTGATTTGCCTTCACAGGATAAAGAACCGTCATCAAAGCCTTTGAATGATCTTAAAAAAGCGGCCACTGAAAGCACGCGAGGTGTTTGTATTGCAAAACAGAGACTCATGTGGTTATAGGCAATAATTGGTAGTTCCAAGCACCCTAGAAGGTATGTGTCTTGCATCACGTGTGCTTTTGTTGTCGTGGCCGGGGTCCAGAGCCCTGTGAATGTCTTTAAAATTCAGCAAACATCGATCAGCAAACAGATAGAAATCCCTCAAGAGGGTTCGTCAATGCTCTTCATGTTTTTTTGAAGCTTGAAGCAAACCTCCAAGAGAAGTGGCCAATACACGCATTCTTGAGGCAGAAGTGGCCAATCGGCTCTCGGTCTCTGCCTCGGCGCAGCACAGCTTCTTTGAGGCTGGAAGCACCCGGATCTGACTGCCGCAGGTCGTCGCTAAAGAAGAACACAGGGAACATAACAGCTGGCTGTTGGTAGCTGGTCATTAGGTCGATCTAGCCATGGCCACAAGAACGGCAAAACTTCTTTCTTTCTGCGATTTGAAGGACCGACCCCTCCTGACACCCTTACGAAGGAGTACCCAAGAGGGTTTCACATTTTGTGGAGTTTCATCGGAATCACCTAGGAAAGGATGCCCTTCCATGTGGAAGAGAAAGGGCCTCAATACTGCAGCACATGCATGTTTGTTTGAACCGGGGTCACTGTACTGAACTGTATATTCTAGAGGGCAAGTCAATTTCATGTTGGGTTTCCAAGTTTGTTTAATGATTGAATGTTTTTGTCATGATATTACAGACAACAAGTTTGTGCCTCATTAATCGAGCAGAGGGCCTGGTTCGGGCACCACCCTTTTTGGGGGCGGATGGATTGTCATTGAGATGTTGTCAGATGTCATGGGCTCTTGATCTTGTTTTCAGAGGTGAGTCTGATCAGGCTTAAAGTAGACAACCACATTCAGAAGACAACGACCTCAAATCTTTTACTCAGGGAATCAGGAAAGAGTGTTTGTCAGGGAATTGGAAGACTGGCTTCGCCAGAAAACCAAACATCAGATCCTGGCATAGGTGCGAGTCCAAAGGTTCACATTTGTTCACATTATCTTCGATATATATATATATAATTGAAGGGCTGAACTGTTCCACAGCAACATAGCTCTCATGTGCTCTAATTGTTACCTCCAAGTCAAAGGGTAGGATGATGCGGGGTGTAGCCCAGATCAAACGCACCCTGCTTTTGGTGAAGCTGAAGTGAAGCAGTTCAACCCAACTAGGACCACCATCGAAACTCTGTGCATGTTGTGCTGCTTGTCAACGCCCGTTCTTGCAGGGACTGGACGTCTTCACATTGCACAAGAGGCTCTGGGAAAGTATGGATGATCACACGGGAAAGTGCAACCCAAAGAATGGGTGAGGGGAGATGAAGTTCCTTGCTATTGAAATATACTGCTGAAAGAATCTAAGCGAGAGGGTGAAGATAAGGTTCTCTTCAGACTTCAGGCAGTCCTGCCCTGTCCATGCAGGTCTCACAACTCGCAATTTCTTGGCATCGCTTATCACATATCTCAATGCCCAAGTCTTTACCTGACGAAAAGATTATGTAATGATGGATTGAGTGCAGTTGGATTGATACAAAAGAGCAGTCAGCTAACACTCCACACCCAGTGAAATCGGATGAGTTCAGAGGTTTTCCGATGCTGGAGTGTTCGCCTAATGTAAGACAATATTGCAGCGGGTCTTGTTCATTTTGGCGATCTCGTAAATCTATTGGGGAAACACAATGGATTTGGGATGATTGAAGGAAATCCAGCTATCAACAATCGGGCTATTTGGTACACCATAAATGGTGGCCGTCAGGTATGGGTTCAGGATGAATGGACTCCTCAGTTGATAGCACCTGGGGCTTCTTCAACCCTAAATTTAAAGTATCCTAGAACCCCTCTGTTGTGATTGAAGCGTTCTTCTGAACCTGGTTGACACCGAAACAATTTGTCTCGTCTCCATTTGCTCATTGAAATTATAGTGTACAGTATACAATGTATAATGATACACATTGTATATATATAATCATGTATATATATATAACACATGTATAATACATCATTTGCACAGTCATGTCAGGCTTCTTTCGGTTGATATGTCCTAGTCCAGGGCCTTTCCCAGCCTCGAGGCCCCGCGGCCCCGAGTTGCCGGAGATCGAGAAGCGACCCACGGAGAGAGAACGAGCGACGTTGAAGCGACGAGCGACGTGACGGTCGCGACATCGGGCAT